GCTCACCTCCCTGGGAGGGGGGGCGGTTACCTTTGCTTCCCTGCATTTAGGGAATATTCGTCCACCAATCTGTCATACTCCGTTCTGATGTCATCCAGACAGCCATTGTCCCCAAAGGCTCCCCATTCCATGTTGATACACATTCGGCCCTCGGTCCCCTCCAGCATCTCTACGTTCTTCATTTCCTCCATGTAGCAGGCATTGCTGCCCGTCCCTGAAACACACAACGATCCTGGAAGGTCATGCCACAGGCCAGGGCGGCTGGAACCAGGCCTGGGGTCTGAGGCCTGGGACTTCACAGATAAGGGGGCATATACTTGAGAGGAACAGAGTAATAGCTTTGCTTTCCCAGTGTTTGCCGAGAAAACTTGGAAAGAGTCTGGGGCTGGTTCCGCAGCAAAGCCGTAATAAAACTCTTCAGGGGAGCCTGGTCAGCCTGAGGCACACAGGCAGGCACACAAGTGCCCAAGATTTGACAAGGAAGGGACCGTGGCATGACCATTCCCCGTGGAGGCTGCTACACCCTCTCCCTGCCCCATCATGTGCATGCACACACACGATCATGAATGAAAGACGGAACTGCGAGTCTGAGGCAAACCACCCAGAGAGCAGTTGATGAACTACATTATAGCTAAGAGCCTCGTGTTCACCTGTCCAGGCGGGGCTGTATTTATTTTAACAGAAGATGGTCTTACAGAGGAATGTATACTCAACTTTGGCAATATTTAGATGGAAAGAAAATACATATACACATATGCACATACAGATACACACATACATATAAATGCATACACAGATACACATGTACCTACATATACAGATGAGGGGATTACCTACTATAGTACTTCAGATGGCCACTTATTTTTTTTTTAATTTGTCAGCACAAGTGTTCTCCAGAGAGAGAGGGAGAGGGAGGAATCCCCCACAGAACATAGTCACGCCACCAACCCTTCTCCTCCATTCTTCCCTCCTTTCGGGACTCTGGGCACGCACGCACGCGCTCAGCCACCAGGACTGAGCTTTGAACTGCATGGTTGGCCATGTGGGGCCCGGCACCAATAGGCCACGGAGCCTTCCACTTATCTGTTCTCACCCAAGACGGACACGGCCTAAGCCTGCTCCTTCAGCTCTCCTACATTTTCCGAATGAAGCCCATGGTTAGTTCAGGGAAGGACAGTGCCCTCAATATTCAAAGGAGCCTTTCTAAAGTGATGGTTTCTCACCTTTTTGGTATCGCAGACCTCTTTGAAAGTCTGATGGCTCCCAAGAAAAAGGAACATTTCTCTGGGTGTCACACACACACTGCACACGTGCCACCTGGCATGTGGTCTCCGGGCACTCAGGAGCGTCTGATTTCCAGTCCTGAACTCCGAGCGTGGGGCTACTCAAAGCGCGGCCCACAAACCAGGATGTAACTAACCCAGTCCATGAGGAACTGGATCAAGAACCAGAGTAAGTGCTCGAAGGCTTTTCTAGCAGTTTTCGGGACCACAATTTCCAAGCTCGGTCTCTGGACTTAACTGACAGAACAGACTGGGAATTAAAAACCAACCGACTGGGACCAACAGGGCATTGGACTTGCACATGGCCGACCACCACTCGAGTCCTGGACCTGGAGCTTGCCTTCCCTTCTCTCTCTCCCTTTCTCTCTATCCCTCTCTGGTCAAATTAAAATAAATAAAATAAATAATTATTTTTAAAAATTTATTTACTTATTATTTTTTCACAGGAGTGTTACCAGAGAAAGAAAGTAAGAGAGAGAGAGAGAGAAAGCAAGCCTCCAGGTCTGGGCCTTGAATCACGATCCGCCATGTGGGAATTCCAGTGCCTTAACCACCATGCCACCTGTTGGTCCCAATAATTATTTTAAAAAAATCTAACCAAGGCACCCTTATACCGTATGGGTGCTTCATATGCCCAATCACCTGGGCAGCCCAGGATGCAGATCGTGACTGGGGAATACTGACATGGGGCCCAAGACCCAGCTCCCAGGTGCTGCTGGTGCTGCCGCCCCGGGAACCCATCAACCCGCTCTAGGTGGGACTCAGATGGATTTCAATGCCATTAAAAGACTCTAAGACATCCCTGTCACGGCAAAAGGTTTTGGTCATTTACATCCTCTTCGAAAAAACTGAAGTAGAACTCACAAATGTTTCTGGCTGGATTGTTTCCTTGTTTGTCTTTTTCAGCGCCCTCTCACCCAAGGTTAAAACCGAGACAAAGGCTAGCAGGGTAGCCTACTGTTTAAAGGAGCCAGATCCCACATCCCTGACCGCAGTTCAAATCCCAGCCTCTGGGGCTTGAAAAACATGCCAGGCACATGTGCACGCGTGCCCCGGATCCTCACAGGATGGGGAAACGGAAGAGAAGGGGTTGCAGACGACTCCCCATGGAGGGTACGTTTTCCTTCTCTCTCCATCTCTGGTGAGTGCATGTGCCCTATGGCGATTTAAAAAAAAAAAGAAAGAAAGAAAGAAACAATAAACAGGAGTTCCAGAAGCGGAAGGGAAGGAGTGCAAAGAAAGCCAACCATACCAAGCACACTTCCTGCCTACGGGAGCAGAGATCAATTCATGGAGGGAAGAAAAGTGGCTTTAAATGTGGCCAGACACGGGTGCCAGGATCAGCTAATTGGGCTTCCCTAACCTAAGCAGCTGACCTGGGCAGGAAGGTGAGGCCTGGCCGGAAGAGAATGTGCTGAGTCACTCCAGCATTGCATTTTTCACTTAAGCCATTCATATGCAGAGGCGGGGCAGGGCTGGGTGGGGAGAGCTGGAGGAAAATAAAAGGAAGAAAACAAAGCCCAGAGCCAGGCCTCAAAGGACCTCTCACCTGGAGGGGCTACCTTGGTTTTTATTTAATTCCAACACAAGCCAAAAGTGATTTAAGGACTTAAAAGGTCTCCCTGGTGCCAGGAGGGATGCCTATGGGGGCCTTATCCCAACCTCTAGATAAAGGTCTAGGGCAACGCCCTCCCCATCCAGGTAGAGGGAGCCACGGAGCCGCAGAAACACGTGGAGTCTTTCCCAGCAGCCCCTGGCAGTAGCAGCAGCACACAAATGGTTTCCTCCCAGCTCAAATCAATGCGGCCCTGAGTTAGTCATGTGCTCTCGAGGCCCAGATCCCCTATTGTGTCAGAATGTAGGACGACATCCTGCATTGACGACAGAGACCCCTCTGCTGGGACCACTCTCCAACGGTGGCTGTTAAAGGCAAAATGGCATCCACTCTACCCTTTCCAGGTCCAAGCACGGTCAGGAGAGGAGGTGATCCCTGCGTCCTTTCCAGCCTCAGGCTCCCACCCTGTAACACCTGCTTGTAGCCCCTCTGTGCCACCCGAAAGTAACCCTGCTGTCCAGACAGCTCCAGGCACCCTTCCCTAGCCACCCACACCAGGAGCCATTTGGGGCCTCATTCCGGCGGAGCTCAGCTCCTGACAGTCTGGTCACCATCAACGTGCCACACTGTCAGGGTGCAGGCAGGGGAAAAGCCTGCGGCCTCCGGCCAGCACTGCACAGTGGAGGTGAACAGGGGCACGGCACTGATGGACAGGATGCCCCTGACTCCTTCTCTCTCCATCTCTGGTGAGTGCATGTGCCCTATGGCGATTTAAAAAAAAAAAGAAAGAAAGAAAGAAACAATAAACAGGAGTTCCAGAAGCGGAAGGGAAGGAGTGCAAAGAAAGCCAACCATACCAAGCACACTTCCTGCCTACGGGAGCAGAGATCAATTCATGGAGGGAAGAAAAGTGGCTTTAAATGTGGCCAGACACGGGTGCCAGGATCAGCTAATTGGGCTTCCCTAACCTAAGCAGCTGACCTGGGCAGGAAGGTGAGGCCTGGCCGGAAGAGAATGTGCTGAGTCACTCCAGCATTGCATTTTTCACTTAAGCCATTCATATGCAGAGGCGGGGCAGGGCTGGGTGGGGAGAGCTGGAGGAAAATAAAAGGAAGAAAACAAAGCCCAGAGCCAGGCCTCAAAGGACCTCTCACCTGGAGGGGCTACCTTGGTTTTTATTTAATTCCAACACAAGCCAAAAGTGATTTAAGGACTTAAAAGGTCTCCCTGGTGCCAGGAGGGATGCCTATGGGGGCCTTATCCCAACCTCTAGATAAAGGTCTAGGGCAACGCCCTCCCCATCCAGGTAGAGGGAGCCACGGAGCCGCAGAAACACGTGGAGTCTTTCCCAGCAGCCCCTGGCAGTAGCAGCAGCACACAAATGGTTTCCTCCCAGCTCAAATCAATGCGGCCCTGAGTTAGTCATGTGCTCTCGAGGCCCAGATCCCCTATTGTGTCAGAATGTAGGACGACATCCTGCATTGACGACAGAGACCCCTCTGCTGGGACCACTCTCCAACGGTGGCTGTTAAAGGCAAAATGGCATCCACTCTACCCTTTCCAGGTCCAAGCACGGTCAGGAGAGGAGGTGATCCCTGCGTCCTTTCCAGCCTCAGGCTCCCACCCTGTAACACCTGCTTGTAGCCCCTCTGTGCCACCCCAAAGTAACCCTGCTGTCCAGACAGCTCCAGGCACCCTTCCCTAGCCACCCACACCAGGAGCCATTTGGGGCCTCATTCCGGCGGAGCTCAGCTCCTGACAGTCTGGTCACCATCAACGTGCCACACTGTCAGGGTGCAGGCAGGGGAAAAGCCTGCGGCCTCCGGCCAGCACTGCACAGTGGAGGTGAACAGGGGCACGGCACTGATGGACAGGATGCCCCTGACAGACAACTGAGCTACAGGGGGAAGGCCCCCCGAGACACACAACCCAGCCTTCCCTTCCCCAGGAGGGGCCCTACAGGACACCCACCTACAATGAGTCCAACCTCACAGGTGGGCTCCTCGTAAGCACAGGTCATCATGGTGCCCACCGTGTCGTTGACCACAGCCACCACGTCCAGGTCAAATTCCTTTGGAAAGAAAGGGACACAGTTAGAGAAGGGACAGCTCTGCTGGCCTGAATCCCATCGGTCCACTCCGCTGCGCGGCAGTCAGAAGGCCGCTAGTGCATAATGTAGGTCTCTTGACTCGGCTAGCCCTCGCTGACCAGACACCTGCTCCTCAGGATGTATCCAAACGTGAGACCCCGGAAGGGGAAGCAGTCCACCCCTAAGGACGACAGGGACTCACTGAATAGAGAAAAGACAAGGCACCAAGGTGCAAACGTTCCTTCTGCTGTGCGTGTAAAGTGTTCATAGCCTTTCAGAGGGCAAAATGGAAATGGATCCGCCGTTCTTCAGAAACAGTCACGCAGGTACACAAAGGTACATGCACCCGGGTATTTTACCACGTAACTTACGTTAGCCAAAAAGAGGAACGAACCCAAACAGGTCAGAAAGGGCTATGCAGACACAGTTCAGGCACGCATGGGAATCCCACTCAGCCAAGAAAAAGAATGAGAGACAAGAAACATACCTATTTCATATTAAATAAGGAAAGCAGATGTAACGTTGTAAATATGGTATGGTTCCCATCTTTACACTGTGCATTTGCGCATTCATGAAAAGCAAGCTGGAAGGAGACGCGCATGCGCTGTGAAATGGTAACAGACGGGTCACAGGTATCTAATGAAACACCAGATGCGGTCTAGCATCTACACCTCTCCGGGTGCAACTGAGGCCTCTTTCAAACACATTCATTTCATTGCCTGTATATTTGTGCCTTAGATTGTCATTTAAATTGATTTAAAAAAAAAAAAACAACACTTCCTGGGCCAGCAGTGGCATCGAGGTTAAGGTGGCTGGATATCACATGGCCCAACCACACAGTTCGAGTCTCAGACCCGGCGGACTGAAAATGTGCTGGGTGCGTGTGTGTGTGCACGCGCGCGTGCGTGCCCAAAATCCTGAGAGGAGAATGGAGGGAGGAAAAGGGATGGTGACATGGCTATCCCCCCCGGAGGGTGATTTCTCACTTTCTCTCTCTCTCTCTGTCTCTCCAGCAAGTGCATGTACCCTACAGCAAAACTGAAGGGGAAAAAATCCCTAATTAATGAGTTAATAAAATCTTTGAAATTTTTCATTATTATTTCAAGGTCTCCCAGCCAAAGACCACTAGAAACACACCTGAACTTGAATCAAGTTAGGTGCAATGACTCATTATTACAGGGGAACACACCCTTCAGGGCACTGTGGAAACTGTTGCTATTACAGAGTGTGGGCCTGGGCTGTGCTTCTGACGAAGGTCCAAAGAAGTAGGACTTAGGCAGGATTAGCAGCTGCCGGGGCAGTTCTGTGACTGGGCTGTTCTGAGTTCCTACACGATTCTGGAGTGCTCTTATTCTTGTCTGAATCCATCATGGTCATGGGTGGCGGTGTGTCTGAGGTTAACGTGCTGCCAAACTGTGTGTGCGCGCTGTGAATCCAGGTCCAGGAGACAACACCATGATCGGTTGAGAGCCAGACCGTGCCCGGCTGTCAGGGGCTGCTTCTCTCTTTTTCAATTTGCATGAGAGTCATAAGGTTACCTTCCTGCAAACACAGTCACCTTTTAGCCTCACAAAACTGATAGGCCTGGTTTTCCTGCTGGCAGCCCAGTGAGGCAATGGGGGCTTTTATTATCCAGGTCACATGCTTCCGTACTGTTTGAATGCTTTACAACAAGCAAGTGCAACTTCTATAACCTGAAAAACGGCACCAATTTGAAAGAGCATTCTTTAGTTACCTCTCTCCTTTTTATGGCATCCCTTAGTAAGGTGACGACATCATGCCCCACACAGTCAGTAGCCTTAAAACCCTTGGTCCAGGTGATCAAGATGCCCTGAAACATAAAAGGCACCAGAGAGTTCTGTGTGATTAACCATTCTGGGCAGAATGCAAAGTTCCACACCCTCCCTCCTAGTCAATGATTACCAGCTCTTACAGCGAGCCGATGCCCACACACGCGAGCACAAACCTATAAAACCCAAAGAGAATTCTCTGCAGACCCCCTCCTTTTTGTTGTCCTCGAGAGTCTAAAGCCATCCTACTTTGCAGATGGAGAAACATGCACATAAGGTTGATGGCGATGCTCAAGTTCCCTCAGCAAACAGCTGGACCACCACCCAGATGTCCCGGCTTAGCCTCGTGCTGCCCCTGTAGGGGACTGTGCTGACAGTACAAGGGAAGGAATGCCAGATTTCAGTATCACTGTTACAGTGAAAGAACCGAAGTTAAACACTTGTGGGGAAGAGGGCAACCAGTAGTGTGACCAGTAGTCATGCTGACTACAAGATGACAATGTCAGCTAACTGCTTTTCTAAGAAAATGAGGCCTTTAAAAAAAAAAGTTTCTATAGATCTAACTGCTGTGATGGAAAAAGGGCGGACATGGAAAAGAGCCCCACGTCAGCGGCGTGACCAGGTGAACTGGTTCGCAGGGGCAGGTGCAGAGGCGCTGCTCGCAGAGCTGCGCGCCGAGCCTAATCCCTGGCCTAAGGCCCTGAGTGCTCTGATGTCACCTCCAGGCCTCCTCCCCGGCCATGCGTCTACACAGAGCTACCTGCCCTCCTCCCACAGGACAGGCTCCTTCTTGCCTCTGTGACTTGGCACAGCTGGCTCTGGGGCTGGTAAAAGCTCAGCTTCCCCACTAGACTGTGGCTCCCTGAGGACCGAACCGGTGACTTTCAGCTCTGAACCCAGCCCTTAGATCTGCCCTGATCTTAGGCCCCACTGCATCCCATTTATTAAAGAAGCAACTATTGAGTACCTTCCCTAAGAGGACATGTTGCTAGGGAGTGAGCACAGCCTTGGCAGGACAGAAGACACAGCCACTGATAACTAAGCATGTAAGAAGTCCCACAACCAAGGTGACAGTCAGAGAACGGGGGCAGAGAAAAGAGTGAGGTTCTTTCTGCCTGGATTCCCAAAGTTGATTACAGCTTTCAATGAGGGAAGATGAGGAGAGGGCCAGCCTGTGGTGTGGCATCAAAACAACGCTGTGAGGCTGACCCACAGGGAGGGTCCCGAGTTCACATCCCAGAGCCTCCCTGTGCATGCTAGGCACATGTACCTGCACCCAGGCTGCTGAGCTGGTGGGAGGGGACTGCAGCATAAAGACCCTGCTGGACCTGCCTCTCTCTCTCTCTCTCATTCATGAAATGAATGAATTTTAAAAAAATAAGCAGATAAGCATCTTAGATATACTCGCAGGCGTGAAATAAATGAAGCCTAGGTCAACCCACTGTGACATGTGAGCCAGTCCCAGAGATGACACTGAGGCAGGAGAAGGACTGAATCAGCCCTCCCACGCCACAGGATCAGTGTGGCCCGATGGCTGCCACCCTAGGAAGAAGACTCACCACATCCAGATTCGTCTGCTTGCAGGGGAATGAGAATGTGAAGCCCAGAGGCATCCTGGGGCCTTTGATCCCCATGTAGTCCAGGAAGTCAGAGATGCAGGAGACGATGTGGTCAAACAGCTGCAGGGAACAGAAGGCGTGATCACCTGTGCTCTCTGGCGTGGCCATTTCAGTGCACATGTATGAGTATATGTGTGCACACACATGTGACCACACATACACACACACATGCAGAGTGAGCCCCTCAGGATCTTCCAGCCGCTGGAGCACCGTAAGCCAGGCACGGCTGGGTACCTGAGGCTTTTGGGCCACAAGAGCACAAGAGCACGACTGCGAGCATCACAGGCAGGTCTGGCCATCAACGACCACCAGTGCCACTGGCCCCGTGTGCAACACATGCACGTGACAGTGCTACAGAGAGAACCGTCACCTCTTCGCCGGTGCCCTGCATGATCTCCACAGGGATGGCATAGATCTTGTTGTGCATTTCCACCGTTCTCTTTTTCCCGCTACGTATCTTCACCAGCAGGACACGGAAATTCGTTCCTCCGAGATCCAGGGCCAAGAAGTCACCATGTTCTGTCGGAGTCGAGGGCAGACAGCGTGTCAGAAACAAACAGCGAGGTGCCGTGGGCAGCTGGCGACCCCAAGACTGCAGACTTCCTAGGGGAGCACTCCGCACAAGCACAGGGGGAAGCACAGCGCAGGCCGGGAGGAGGACTGGGCACCATCTCACTGACCTCCACCCACTCTGAGCCACATTAGAAGGACGAATGCCCGTGATAATAAACCAACCTTGCCAGGGTTACTGAAGAACCTGGCACAAGACCCCAACTTTGGGGAACCTCAGACAAAAATAATTTTGCCCAAGTGTGGCATGTTTGTGAAAATGACACTCCCTCCCCTGGACCCATGCTTCTTAGCAAAGTGATTATGCAGTTCCTCCCCCCAAAAGTGACTTATGTCTCCTCCCCTAAGATCTGGCCTGGGCTTGTAACATGCTTCGGCATCAGAGAAGACCTGGCCTCGGCCTCCAAGAGGCGCTGAAGTCTCCTCTCCCTCGGCCACCCGCAGCAACCACATGAGCAGTCCAGCGGCCTACAGAGCAGGAGGCCCGTGGCCAAGCAACCCACAGCCCTGCCACCAGCCAGTCAACTGCCAGACTCGCGAGGGCACTATGGGAGCTCAGCCTCCCAGCTGACACACCAGCTGACTACAGAGGCAGGCATGAGTCCAGCAGAGGCCAGCCAAGCCTGGTCCCCATGAGCAGGACCAAGCAGCCAACCCAGACTCATGAGCAAACAAAAATGGTTTTAAGCCGTGAAATTGGAAGTTGGCTTATACTGCAGGAAGAAGTAGCTTACACGCAGGACATATCCACATCACATACGCTCATTACTCCAAGGACACGCTGAAAAGCTCCTCAGGGTCCCCATAATGCTCGGTTCAGTGATAATCACCAAGGTCAGCATTCAGGGCTGGACTGGTCTCCCACCTGCCTGGGTGTGCGACCCGGGTCCCTGGGTGACTGCCACACCCTCTCAGGACTTACGGAGTGCGCAGGGTGCTGATTCTGCTGCTTACGTGCTGGAAAGAGAATCTATGTACTCCGTGCTGTGGGCTCTGCCCAGTTTTGTGCTTCTAGGAACACTTTCTAACTCTGAGCAAGGCTGTGGTTTTAGAGAGCCCTTGCCTGGGACGCCCGGCCAGGGGAATTTAACTGCCCTGAGTCACACACAACCAAGGGGGGAAATAGGAAACTGAGGTGAATGAGTTCCAGCTCTCGCACGATCATATCCCAGTGCACATACACCCACTAGAGAACCCACCCTCCCTTGGCCCTGCTGGAATTCACTCTCTGGCAAGAACAGGAGAGGATGTCGCCCCCAACAGGCCCTCACCAGTGCCATCTGGGGTGCTCCGGACGAAGGAAGGCAGCATCTTGACCACAGCATCGTCGTGCGTCTGCTTCCTCAGCCCCAGCTCCATCTCAGTCCGCATCCTCCTCTTCACCTCCAGCAGCATGTCCTTGGTGAGGCGGAAGTGGGCCAGGGTCTCCTCAATCTGCCGGTGCTGCTCAGCCAGGCGGTAGGCCACCGCCGTCACCATGGCGGCCCCCTTGCCGCTGCCACTCTCCGAGAGGAGGAAACGGACGTCGGAGTCTGGCACCAAGCGCCTCAGGGTCTTGTGAAAACGCCGGGCATACCTGAAGAGAGGGGTGGGGGTGTACCCAACAACAGCTAGGCTGAGTCACCACTGGGGACCTCGGCATCCCTTTTCACACTGTGATTTTCTCTTCTACATTTCTTTCATTATGGAAGTCATAGAAGTCCCCTGTAAAAGTCAGCCACAGTGGTACAGCGGTAACACACGCTCAGTGATGCTGAAGCCACAGGGCAAGGTCCCCAGTTTGCAGCCCAAGGTCTCCCTGAACATGCTGGGTGCACGAGCATCGCTATGATCCTGGCTGGGCGTAGATCACAGCATGGGGACTCTGTTGGGGGAGCAGCACCTGCTCTCTCTCTCATGGAAGAAATAAACTTAAAAAAAAAAAATTGGGGCCAGCAGGTGGCATATTGGTTAAGGTGCTGGACTCCCATATGGCCAACTGAGGTTCAAGTCCTAGATCTAGCTGCTTAAAACTCACACCAAGTGCATGTGCATGTGTGCCCAAAATCTCGAGAAGAGAATGGAGAAGGGACTGTGGAGTAGCCTGAGAAGGGAGGTGATTTCTTGCTTTCTGTCTCTCTGTCTCTGTCCCTCCAGCAAGCACATACGCCCTACAGCAAAAATCTCTAAAAAAGAAAAAAAGAAAAGAAAAGCCCATAATCACACACAAAAAGAAAGGATGCTTTCAATACTCATCATATGATCATCAAAGATAGGGGTCGGCAGGTGGCATGGTTGTTAAGGGTGCTGGACTCCCACATGGCTAACCACAGTTCAAGTCCTGGACCTGACAGCTTGCTTTCTCACTTTTCCTTTCTCTCTTGCACTCTCTCTCCTACTCACTCGCACTCTGTCCTTCTCCAGTCAAATTTAAATAGATAAATAAAGTAAAAATAATTTAACAAAAAGATAAAAAATTTAGGGTGCAAAAAGATTTTGTCCTCCAACATGACAAGTATAAGGAGATAACACCACATGCTGGTCAACAGCACAGTTAGAAAGTCAGACAGATCTCGGGGCTGGCAGGTGGTAGGGTGGTTAAGAGCACTGGACTCTCACATGGTCAAATGTGGTTCGAGTCCCGGACCTGGTGGCTTGGTTTCTTACTTTCTCTCTCTCTCTTTCTCTCTCTCTCTCTCTCTCACACACACACACACACACACACACATACATACTCTGTCCCTCTCTGGTCAAATTAAAAGAAAGAAAGTTAAATAAAATAATTCTTTAAAAAAAAAGAAAGAAAGAAAATCAGACAGATCTGAAACCAGGGTGAGCTCTACCAGACGCTTCTGTGTTGGTGAATGAGTTACTTAACCTTGAACTAAATGAGGATCATGGCATCTGACTAAGAGTGATGAGGTAGGAATTAAATGAGTTAACTAAAATGCATGGATTAGTGGGGCCAGCAGGTGGCAAAATGGTTAAGGCAACTGGATTCCACATAGCCTACTACACAGTTTGAATCCTGGACCCGGTGGCTTGAAAAACACGCCGGACACCTGTGTGTGCATGCCTAAAAATTGTAAGAAGAGGATGGGAGAGAAGAGACTGCAGTGTGGTCGTCCCTCCTGGGGTGCGGGTAAGGGGTGGTGTCAGTCATTTCTCACTTCCCCTCTAGGTCTCTCCATCTCTCGGACAAGTGCACACACCACATAGCAACAATTAAAAAAAAAAAAAAAGAATGAATTTATTCTTTTGGTAACTTCCTAAATTCCCCAAAGTTTCTATAGCAATTATATATTACTTCTGAAATGAGAACCATTTAGTCATTAAGAATAAAAAATAAATACAGTTAAATAAAATAAACCTTATTAAAAAAATAATAAAAACAAACATCAGGCCAATAGGTGGCATGGTGGTTGGGGATGCTGGACTCCCACATGGCAGACTGTGGTTTGAGTCCTGGACCTGGTGGCTGGCTTTCTCATTTTCTCTCTCTCTCTCTCTGTCTCTCTCTGATCAAATTAAATAAAAATAATTCTTTTAAAACAAACAAACTACTATCTCAAATTAAGTCAGCATTCACGGAACTGTTGTTAGAGCTGCGTGGAGGTATGGCACCTGCAAGGCCATTTCATGTACATGTTCTATTCACAGAGAGGAAGACTATCTGAGGTCGCACAAAAAAAATCATGTCACAGGCCATTATTACTAAAACTTATCAAATAAAGACTTAAAATTTACCTTTGGCTTTCTAAAAAGGTACAAGCCATGTTCTTACTGGTGAAGGAAGCGTCTGAAGCTAAAGTCTGCCAGCATGGGACTGGCTATGGAGGCCAATAGACCAGAAGGCAGCATGGAGAGTGGAACCCTCCTCATCAGTGTGGGCTGCTTACAACTCACAGCTCTCTGGCTCTCAGAGCCCAAGCATCAGCAGGCCGCCCCTTTAAAAAAGTCATGTCTGGGCCAGCAGTGGAGCCACAGTAGCATCAGGATGCTTCACAATGTTAAGCCATGTGGGAAGGTCCCCGGTTTGCATCCTGAGGTCCTCCCTGTACACACCAGGACATGCACGCGTGTGCTCATAATCCTGGCTGGCTCAAGCGGGAGGCAGACTACGGCATAGGGGACCACTGAGGATGCCTCTCCCTCTGTCTGTCTGTCTGTCTGTCTGTCTCTCTCTCTCTCTCTTTCTCTCTCTCTCCTAGTAATGTCTGATTGATCAGGAGCTTCTGAAACAAGAACGAGGGTACCTCGTCTATGACCCAAGCTGTAATGAGGATGAAGGTGCTCCTGATGACATAGACAAGATGGAGACCCTTTCCACCCAGAGCTCCAGCAGCTGCAGAAATCTCTTAACACGAACTGAAAGGAGGACAGAGGACAGCGAGCACGGAAGCAACACCAGCAATAGTCAGCTGAGGGCAGCAGCTCTCACATGGGTAACTCTCCCCTTTCTGCCCACATAGTCCTCCTCTTGTCTGCCAAAAACATTCATAGGTGCAAAAGTCTAACTTCTGGAGAAGCTCCTTAGCCCGGGTGGCACAGAGGGCCAGGTATAGCAAAGGGCAGACTCACTGTGGGTGCGTCTTGTAAAGAGATCCGTCGACACCAACCGTGGTCCGCAGCCTGGGCATGCCCTTGTTATCATGCAGGCGGTTCAAGATGGCACCCAACGTGGTAGCCACGAGGTTAGCCGAGCGAAAGGAGACGATGGTGCACACGTGCTGGACTGAGATACAGTCATCATCTGATGGCTCCACTCCCAGGCGGGTCAGGATTTCTTTGGCATTGTGGAGGCCTTCCTTATTCCTGTGAAGTTAGAGGCCAGTAAGAACGCATCAAGGACTAGACCGGGCACCACAAAGCACTGAGGTTCACAGTACTGAGAAGTCAAAACCTCATTCACCACATGTGTATGGCATAGGACTCTCCCAAGGTATGCCTGAAAAGGGTTCTCCATAAGAAATACTGGTCAGAGTAGGAAACACGGTACCAGGCTGGACCTCGACATGCTGGGTGGGTGGAGAGAAGTGGAGAGGCAAGACCAGGTGGTCTCCGAACAGAAGTAGCTGCTTCCACAGGGCTCTGCATTTGTGAGGCCTGGGGGCATCTCTCCCTCTTATGGTCTATGAGTTGCCCCTAATGCCTACACATCTTCCTTGAGTGTTTCAAATTCGATTTGACACACTGCCTACATGTGTTGTATGTCTTTTGTTGGATTCATTCCAAAGTACCTCAGCTTGTTACATTGTAAGTGATGTTGTTAAAAAAAAAAAAAAACCAGGGCTGGCTTCATGGCCTGGTGGTTAAGGCAGCTGATCCCACATGGCTGACTATGTAGTTTGAGTCCCAGACCTGCAGCCTGAGAAACACTCTCAGTACATGAGCACAGCCAAAATCTGAAAAGGGGAGAGGACAGAGGAGAAGGGATTGCAGCATGACCACTCCCCATGGGGGCTGCTTCTTCTCTCCTCTTCTCTCTCTCTATGGCAAGCACATAGACCCCTTAACAGAGAGCAAAAAATAAAAACAAAACCAAAACACACACACACACTCTCTCTCTTTAATGTACCTTTGCTATGTGACATGCTAGCAATGGGGAACCTACATGGGGGATATGCTGGAATACTGTACTATATGTAGTTTTTTGTAACTAACATTATTCTAAAATAAAAGATTCATTTAAAAACCATACATATTTTGGAACCAGCAGATGGCATAAAGGTTATGTCACTAGACTCCCACATAGTTGACCACAGTTCAAGTCCCGGACCTGGCGGCTTAAAGCTCACACCAGGTGCGTGTGCGTGCATGCCCAAAATCCCAAGAGGAGAATGGAGGAGAAGGGCTTGCAGTGCAGCCACCCTCCCTGGGGGGCAGGGATGAGTTCTCATTTTCTGTCTCTCTGTTTGTCTCTCTCTCTCTGACAAACACACACACTCTATAGCAAAAATCTCTTCAAAACATAAAATAAAATAAAAACTAAATATTTTAATTATTGCTAATAGAACTAGATAATCAACTCCCCTATCTTATCTTGACTGACCTCTCTGGTTATTCTATTCACCTGTCTGTAGATATTTTTTGGGGGTTCCACATAGACATTTACCATTTGCAAATAATGATGGTGTTTTTACTCTGATTCTTGTATCTTGAATTTCTTTCTTTCCTTTGTCTTTTTTTTTTAAATATACGGACCAAGACTCCAGTGTAATGCCAAATAGAAACTGGTCTTACTGCCTTGCTTCTGATTTTAGAGAGAATGCTTCCAACATCTGCCCTGGTAAGATGTTTTTAGAAGTGTTTTGGAGATGGCCCTTATTATAATACACAAGCTTTCCTGAGCTAGGTGGGTTTACATTTCCTGGTAACCAAAGAGCCAACACTGAAACAGGCCAGTGGAAGGCAGGCACTTTCCGACTTTGCCAGTGACCTTGAAGGCAGGCCAAGAGCCTCCCACTTCCCTCCCTTCCCAGCAGCAGACCAGGACACTTGTGGAGAGAGGAGACTGGAAAAGTGGCTCCCTGCTTACAGAGCTTTGTACCAATTGCTCCCGAAGAGCGTGACCTTGGGACAAACTCCAGCACATGGATGCGGCAGAAGACTAGGTCGAGACACGCCCTTCTCCCTTCCAGCAGCCTCCTTCTCTAACCACAAAGACAGCTGACACAATCTCCACCCACGAGCCAGAGCTATGAGGCCACCAGCTCAATCAGAATTTATAGGACCGCAGAGGGAACAGTGGCAATGATTACATCATGCAGGGATGAAACGGCCCTCCTAGCACCACGGATGGCAGCAGGCCAGTCGTATGGTCATGCTGGTGGCTCCCCATGGTATGGAGTCTCCTCCAAACAGAGCCTAATGGCACATGGAGGTCAGCCACGGACACAAGTCCTTTAAACTCAGGAGCACCAGACTACCAAAGTGCCCCTGGGATCAAGCTGACCCACTTCCCTGTCAGAGTGAAGGCCTGGGAATAAGAGAAAAAAACAGAATTCTAGCTTTCTTGTGTGATGCCCAAGAGCAGCTGCCAGGCCACTGGCTGGACTCTGTCCATTTGCGCTTGTTTCATCTGATAACTGGTGTTTCTCAAACTTGTACACCAGGGAACACTTCTGGTTATTAACAGCTTTTCCCTGAAAGAATGTGGGGCAGGGGCATTTAAGTACAAAAGAAGTCTGGGAAATGATGAGTTAATAACCAAAGTGAACTGGGTTTTCTTTAATATGCTGATCAACATTTAAATCTTTAGAGGACAAACGTGTAGTATTTCCCAATCCTATCGGTCATAGAATCCTCTTTTCAGGATTCTATGATCTAATGAGCATCTCGAGGTCACCAGGTTCCCTGAAACATAGTTTGGAGAAGGTCATGATATACGAAGGGTAAATTCCAAGAACCTAGGCCCTAGGCTCAATCTGGGCTGCTAACCCAGAAAATGTTGTTATATTGGGTTGTTGGAAAAGTTATGACGAGTTTTTCTATGCAAAAGTACGGCATGACTTTCCAACAACCCAATGCAAGCTGGCTGTCGGCCGGTCTCTCTCTTTGCATGTAACTGCCTTCCTTTCTGCTTCTCTTAGCCATACTGTGATAGAGAACACCTGAGGCTAGCCAGTTGCCAGCTCCACATTGTTGGATTTTCCAGGCAACAGAATCGTGAGCCAAATAAACCTCTTGTATTTATAAATATTCTGGTCTTAGGTATTTCCATTATAGCAACACAGAGGACAAGACTAACTAGGTGGGAAGGTCATCTATGAAACACTTGCCATTAACCAGGTCATTCTTTAGAAAACCATCACAAAGTGCCAGAAGGGAGACTAGCCCAGGATGGGTCACCTAAGAGTGAGGGGAGATTGACCCAAGAAGCCCTGGCTCTCTTGAGGAAAATGTCCACCAAACTTGGACTCAAGAGGTAATAAGGGACCTACCACCCTTCTTGGCCCCACCACTCCAGAAAGCTGAGGGATGGTACCTACTTTTCGATGGCTGATACATCACTGGTATTAAACTTCCCTTTGGTGAGCAGCTCTGGGGTGATCCGCCCTTCAAATAAGAGGCCCTCCTTGGCCATCTTTACTAGGATCAGTCGAACCAGCTCCCCCAGGTACATACCACTGACCATCTTCTCAAACCTGTGGAAGAAAAGCACACAGGCACCGTCAGTCCTTCTTCCACAGCCAGCACTGGGGCAGCATGTGAGGAGGGGTAAGATGCAGGAGAAGAAGGCCTGCCTCATCCCTCTCAAGCTCAGTCCCACTGGCAGGTAAGACCATGCTCCTGTATGACTAAACAACAGGGGAATGGGGAGCAGGAAGAGAGGGCAGGTCACTCAGATCCCACGTCTGTGCCCCCAAAATACTATGGGGTAGAAGCAGGCAAGGAAGGCTGCCCGGAGGCAAGGGGAACATTAGGACTTTGGGGATGACAAGATGGTCACTAGACAGAAGTGAGCAGAACATGACAATCTAGTAAAACTTCATGCTGTGCTTTTTTTTTTTTTAATTTGCTAAGAAGGTATATACACTTGCTAGGGAGAGACAGAGAGAGGAGAGAAAGAGAGAAAGCAAGAAAGACACCCTATGGGGAGCAATCACACTGGTCTTCTCCTTTCAGGATTTTGGGCACACATGCAGTTTTCAAGCGGCCAGGTCCAGGACTCAAACTATACAGCTAGCTATGTAGGATCTAGCTGCCTTAACCACCACGCCACTGGCTGGCCCCATGCTATGCTTTTTAAAGGACTTTTGCCTCCATCACTCTATCCAAACCAGTAAAAAAGAAAAGGCTGGGAAATATTTTACCCCAATTCCTGAGAAAGGGTAAATGTCTTCTTCCAAGGAAAAGCAGCCACTCCCCACAGGGAACCTGTCCTGACATATCTTGGTCACCTCCCTGGGGTCAGTTTTTTCCTTCTTCATCCAAAATGACCAAGGCTGTTCTGAGGAACACTCTCCTCCCCTAAACTCGAGGAGTGAGCTCTGAGTAGCTGAAAGCCAGTCAGCTCGCCCTACTGTAGGCGTGGACCAGTCAGATTGTACGTTCTCTCAGGCATGGACCAATCAGAGTGAATCCTCTCTCTTGCCTGCCCTGGGAGGTAGAAGAGAGGTGTGGGCTCCCTAACTGCAGCAGCCACTTTGAACCCAGCACTGCAGGGGAGAGGCAGCCACATGGAGCCTGAAGTTGATACACACTGAGGAAGGCCCACCAAGAGTTAGTGAAAACCAGGGCTCAAAGCCTTATCAGAGCCAGATCTGACCCCAGTCCTGGCTGACCAGGGGCTAGAAGGAACCCCTGGGAAGGTCAGACCAAATAGGCAAGTCCGAGTTGGAGTGGGGCCTCTCCTCTGACGGAGCCCAGCTGGCACGCCCAGAGCTGGCTGGGACACAGCAAAACAATCTGTTCCAGGCAGAGCCGCCTGAGGGCCAAGGATGCTGCTGGGACCTGAGCACCCAGGCCTCCATCAACACGGGCGCAGAGCCTGCTCAGGAACACAGCCCTCCTTGTTCCTGCTCCTGACAGGACCAGACAGGACCAACCGGTGTGGCTGTGTCAAGGATCCCTGGCAGATCTCCAGTCCTGGCAGCCCCGTTTCTGCCCCCTGCACCTGTGGGCACAGCCTGTGTCTCAGAGAAATCTCAGAGCGGACAGGGGTGCAGTGGGACCACCACGGTGCCCCTCCCCAAGCTGGGCCTGTCTCAGCTGTATAATGGGGTATGGACGGCGCTTTCCTATGAGGCTGGATGGCAGCGTCCTAATACTTGGCCTGGCTAATCATGAGTGTGTGTGGCCTTTCCTCTGTGACCAACACTCTTCTGAGTAGTTTACTTGTGTACACTTCTTTATCCTCATCACAACCCTGTGAGGCAGACATAGCATCATCCCATCTCACAGGTGAGGAAACTGAGGCACAGGAAGGTCCCGTAACATGAACAGGGCTAACGAGTGACAAACCCACATTTCGAGCCCAGTTAAACTGAACACCAGAGGTTATGCTCCAACCGCTGTGCCTGGCCAGTATCATCCAGAGGAGCTGGCAGCAACCGAGCCCACCCTCTGCCTGTCCTCCTCCAGCTCACGTCTCCGAGGCAGCCTGTGCTCCAGCTGGGCAGTGGACAGCAGGAAAGCCTGTTCCCCTAGGAGGTCACATCAGCCTCCTGGCATTTGTGGGGCTTCTTGCTCCGCTTTCTAGACACCCAGTACAATCCCTCCCTTTTCTACATGATGATCTTTTACACAGATACTAACACCCCCTTTTCCAGTTAGAGCCTTAGGCCAATAGTCTGCCCTTTCGCAACTCCCAGAATCCCCATCGGGGAGGAAGAATGAGCAAACAGCACCTCTCATAGCTCCTCTGATCAAGCCAAAGGCTCGTGAATGGCTCCTTCTCCTCCAGCCCGCTTCCCTCTGCTCTAGTGAAATCAAGTGAGTTGCAATCTACCCTCTGACCACGGACCAGCTGCAAGGGGTCGCTGCTCGGTGTTCCCGCCTTCCCATCTTCTAGCAGGTGTAAGCAAGGCGAGATGGCGCGGGGGACTGCAAGCGGACAAGAGAAGTACGAGCAAGGGCTTGCACACCAATTAGGAGTTTCCTTGGCAGCCGGGTCTGCTCCAGCTGGCAGCCCAGAAAAAGAAAAGGGAGAACCCTATGGCCACACAACCAGGGTTAGAGCTGCTGAGCTCAAGACTCTACGGAGTGGGCAGAGCAACCGTAAGTAAAGGTGTTTGGGAGCTGACTTGGAGAGAGGTGAGGTCAATCCAACACGATACAGGCCAAAGAACTCTCCCAAAGGACCATGCTAGCTTTGTTGTATGAGATGGGGAGCTCCTTGCATTCTGAAGGGGATAAGAGAAACGGATTTAAGATTCCAGACACAGAAAACAAAAGAGCAAGAAGTTTAAGAAGACAAGCAAGAAGGACAAAGAGGATTAAAAAAGAAGGTGAGACCAGAATATACAGGATAGAATGTCAAAGGCCCACCACGTAGGCTGTTGGGGAGGAAACCAAATGTCTCATCCCTTTGAGTGATGTCCTTGAAGCGCTGGGGAAAGGCTGGGGCTCCTGAATCTCAGAGCAGTTGCCCTGCTGCCTTCGGAAGGCAGTCACCACCAAGGAAGGTGGAACTGGAGAGCTCTGAAATACCTTGTCTGCTGCAGAAGGCAAGCCCTTGGTAAGTGCTACCGCGAATCAAAACGAGTTAAGCGAGTGGGTGTGTAGTGGTCTGGAGTACTGGACACAAACAGCTTCTGCACAAATCTGACACACCCAAATTTTAAGCCCTGGTTAAAACTGGAATCAGGGCCAGCAGGTAGTGTGGAGATCAAAGCACTGGATCCCACACAGCCAACTGCGCAGATCAATGCCTGGACCCAGTGGCTTATAAAATCATACTAGGCCACATGTGCATGCATGCCCAAAATCCCAAGAGGAGACTGGAGGAAAAAGGACTATGGCATGGCCATCCCTTCTAGGAGGGATGATTTCTCTCTCTCTAGCAAGTACACTTACCCTATAGCAAAACTTTAAAAAAATAAAAATGGAGTCAGGGCTAGACGGTAGTACAGCAGTAAATCATGATGCTCTGTGAGGCTGACCCACATGGAAAGGTGCTGGACTTGTGTCCAGAGACTTCCCTGAGTACTCCAGGCACATGTGTGCCCATGACCTGGGGACGGCTAAAGCTGAGCGTGGACTGTGGCATCAAGACCCTCTCAGGGGTGCTCTCTCTCTTTCTCCCCTCTTCTACTCTTCTCTCTCCCCTTGTCTTTCTTGCCCATGAAAGGAAGAGAGGAAGGAAAGAGAAACTTTAGAAACAAGAAAATGGAATCGCCAGTTTCACAATACTAAGGACTTGCCAGCACGGCCCAGCTGAATAGAGACGGGGAGGATGGTGGAGGTAGTGAGTGGACGTCCAGGCATCAGTATTTTAAAAGCCCCTATGTAACGCTAACGTGTACCAAAGGTGAAAATCCACTCTCCGAGACCATCTCTGATAGTTTTGCTCCAACATCCTATTTCCAGGAGTATGTGATACAACTCAAGACTTTGTCTCCTTGGAATTGTTCTTAATGACACCTGACCTACGGTAAACAATTTGCAAAGAAACATATCCAAGGAGATGTCACTCTACCTTGCGTCCAACTATCCATCCTCCTCTTTATCCACATACCCATCTCCTGTCCTCCCTCCACCAACCGCCCACTCACCTTTCATCCACTCACCCACCCATCCCAAAACAGGATTCATTACTACCAGCTGTGTATTCACAGTGCAGCCCAGAGATATAGGTCAGCTATCTAGAGAGATTCAGAAATACGGCAAGATGGACAGAGAGAAATGCAGGTTTATGCCTGAGCTATGCGGGGTCCTCACATGGGCTGAAGACAAAGATGAGGGCCTAGGCCATTTCTGCTCAGTTACCCCCAGTGGCCTGCCCCACCTGTACTGCTGAGAGAGGAGACCTCTGTCTACGTGAGCAACAGGGACTACAGGTGTATTCGCTCTTATCTGAAACCCTCAGGGTCATGGGTGCTTGGGAATGTGGAGATCAGGGACTTCAGAGATGTAAGTCAGTGTGTACGTGACATGTGAAGTGCTGCAGAGGTGCTGGAGGCAGCCCTGGACCCAAGCACATCCATGTCAGGGAAACAGATAAGCAGGCATAGTAAACAGCCCCATTCATTGGGGTCAGGCTTTAGGATTACAGGTCATGTCAACAGAATGAGGGGATGGGTGGGCAAAACTTTGGCTGCCCAAGCTTTGGAACGGGACCCTTTATCACCAAACTGGTCCTTTATCACTGGTCTTAGTCCCAGCCTGTAGAGAGGATGCTCAACTCTGGGTCTAGAACTTGGTAATTCTCTCATCTAGTTTATTCACCACCACCACCCCCCATTTGGGGGACTAGCCCTTTATGTAACTTCATTAATTCAGGTGAAAGGTCAACTGTCCATACTGGGATATGGAGATCTCTTGGGTGAAGGGTTTCCACAAGACTAGTAAACTCTCATTTCTCTCTGGGCATCAGGATAAGGCCTGTTGGGTCTACTGGGTCAAAGAACATCCTTCTGTAGGCCAAGAACACCCAACTCCAGGATAAGGCTGCTGGGAGGCTGGCATATCCAAGAGGGCTAGCAGCATGCCAGCATCACAGAGAAATGCGTGTGCACTTCAGGGAGTGGGCGGCTCAGAGGAGATGACACCCACTCTTACTTTTGCATCCAGGAGTTCTCCGAGGCCAAAACCAACTTGCCTAGAAGCCAGATGTTCTTTGATCAACTGATGCATTTGTTTATGCTTGACGCAGAAGAAAGTTCCCCATTCCCCCAAGGCCTGCAGACATGCACAGTTCGCACCACTGCTCGGCAGGACAGGTATCTGCTTGTGTGATCTACTTTGCTATTCAGACCAAGTCCCAGGAAGGAGGCAAGTCTGCACCCTCAGAGCCCAGCATGGAGCTCACCACTTGTGTGAGCAATGAATGAGCTCACGCTCCCTTGCACACTCGGTCAGCCTGAACAGCAACGCAGACGTCTACAACATGTAGAAATGCTTCGGACCGGACATTTACCCTACTGCTTCTATACTTTTTGACCTTCAAAATGTTTGACATGGAGGCAATCGTGGAAATTAAATAAAAAGAGCATAACTTAAAAAGTGCTCTTAGGGGAGCAGGTGGCGTGGTGGTTGGGTGCTGGACTCTCACATGGCCAACCCAGTTTGAGTCCCAGATCTAGCAGCTTGCTTTCTCAGTTTCCGTTTCTCTCTCTGTCTCTCTCTCTCTCTCTGGTCAAATTAAAAAAATAGTAATAATAAAAAATAAAATTTAAAAAATAATGCTAAAAAAAAAGTGGTGCTCTTGGGGCCAGCTACTGGCATGTGGTTAAGATGGCTGGATCCCACATGGCTGACTGCATGGTTTGAGGTCCAAACCCAGTGGCTTGAAAATCATGCTGGGGTGTGTGGTTGTGTGTGCCCCAAATCCAAAAAGAATGGTAAAGAAGAGATTGTGGCATGGTCATCCCACCGGAAGGTGTTTTCTCACTTTCCCTGTTTCTGAGCGCAAGTGCCCTATAGCCAAAAAATAATTTTTATTATTTTATTTAACTTTATTTATTTTATTTTGACCAGGGAAGGACAGAGCAAGAGAGGGTGCGAGAGAGAGCGAGAGAGAGCAAGGGAAAGTGAGAAAGCAAGCCGCCAGGTCTGGGACTCAAACGGCAATTGGCCATGTGGGAGTCCAATGCCCTCAACCACCAGGCCACCTGCGGGCCCTGTGCCCTATAGCAAATTTAAAACAAATCAAAAAAGATGCTTTAAAAGCACTTTTAAAGCTGCAGATTCCACAGCTGCGTGTTTATCAAGGAGTAACAATCCAAAATTGATGGGCTTCTCCACTGTGATCACTTGGCTTCATGGCCCTTCCCCCCCAAATCCCTCTGTGTCTCTAAGTCCTATCTGTGACTACAGAAAAAGGTCAAGGACTCACAGCTGTTTTCCGGGGTTGAGGGAGCCCCGGTCTATCTCTCTGTCAAACTCGGTCCGGATGTCTTCCAGAGACCCATCGTCCCCGAAGGCTCCCCATTCAGTGTTGATACACATCCTCCCCTCGTCTCCTTCCACCAGGTCAATGTGCCGCAGTTCCTCCATGTAGCAAGCGTTGGTGCCCGTGCCTTGGAGAGACAAGACAGGAAGCTGTGACCACACGAGAGGCAGGGAGAGAAGTGCTTCCCTGAATCGTTGGCTCACGACAGGGCGAGCACTGGGGTGGGCATTACCAATGATCAGGCCGACTTCACAATGCTGGTCATCATAGCCACAGGTCATCATGGTCCCCACAGTGTCATTTACCACCGCGACGATGTTGGCTTCATAGTCCTGGGGACAGATAACAGGGTGTCAACCCCTGCTCATACATGGCAGCGGAGGTTACCAGCCTTAAGAGAGCGTGGCAGGAGCCCTCCTGTTTTCACCACCACCTCTGCTCTGTGGGTGGTGCTGGTTTCATTACTGCTAGTGCTCAAATAATTGAATTGAGTGTAGTGATTAAATTATGGAAACTGCACATAGTCCCTTTAATCATCTGGCTTAGGGTTCTTCAGGGAGTAGATTTTTCTTGTTGGAGCCACATTCTTCTACAGACTACCACACTGGAGCCACACTCCCACCAGAAGGCCGCTACCCCACCTGTGTTCTAACCACAGCTAGCTGTGTCTGTCCTCCTCGGAAGGAGGCCACGCCTGCCCCAGCGCTTGGCTCCTCTGGGTAGCACTTCTAAGAGCTTGGTTTTGAACCACCCCCTAACCTTCTGGGCTGTGGACCCTCACCTCTACCCTGCCTGGGCCTTCACACCATAGCACTGCTGCCCCCTCATAAAGGACTTTAGGACTCAGACCTTTCCCCACTCCCCAAGCCTCCTCTTCTGCATGGATGAGCCAGGTGCCCAGGAGAAATTACCCCTCGCTTTTTGATGGCTTTGTCAAGCAACTTGACCACATCTGCTCCTTCCACACCGCTCGCTTTAAATCGCTTCGTCCAGGTGATGAGGATGGCCTGCAAGGGACAGCAGATGGGGCTGGATGAGGGCTGGGGGTCAGTATCTCTGGTCCCTAGGGGTTCTTCTCCAGCACGGGAATGAGCCAGCCCAAATGGTGTCCTCCAGCTCACACTGGGGATGCAACCACTCTGTTCCATCTCTTGTCCACCCACACAACGGACCTCTCTGGGGGCTACCACGGTGAGGATAAAACCCATTCACAATATCCAGCTTGCAGCAGCATAAGGCAAGTGGCTGGCCAGTACAGCAGCCTCACACGGCATGCCAGTCACACAGAGCGAACGCCTCGCAGCACGGTGACTAAGTGCTGTGCACAGGGAGCTGGATCCCACTTGCCCGACCGCAGTTTAAATCCCTACCCCAGTGGCTTGAAAAACATGCTAGGTATGTGTGCCTGCGTGTCCAGAATCCTCATGGAATGGAGAAATGGAGGAAAGAGGATTGCAGCGTGACCACACCCCATTTGGGGTTGTTTTCTCACTCTGGTGAGCACATGCACCCTCTGGCAATAAGAAATAAATCAATTTAAAAAAAAAGAGAGAGAGAGCAAGACAGGTCTCATTAGGCGTTGATCACACTTCTCCACAATCTAACCAGACCTCAGCTGCCCCAAGGTATGAAAGCCAAAGCTAAATGGAAAACAGACAAAGTGCTAAGCTAATCTGTCTGCTAAGCTTCCCGAGCCTGGCTGATATTTAAGGGAGACCACTTACGTGCGTCTCTCAAAGACCCTGGGCCCAGCCTCTGTAAGCTGCAACTCCACTGTGTAACCCGTATGATCCCACTGCAGCTGCACATTAATATGAAACATCCAGAAGGACAGACATCCCCTGGCTACTTACTTGAGAATGTGGAGGGCAGGAACTCTACTTTTGCTTCACAATTTTAAATTATTTCAATAGTTTTATATATATCTTTTGTATTTATTTTATCTTTTTTCTTTATTATTATTTATACATTCAATCACTATACATCACTTAGATTGTAAAGGGACTACCCAGCATCATATACATCTCAGACCAGTTGAGAATACTATACACATCCTCATCAACAGATAATAAACTATATCTGTGTCCCACAAATATCTTACCTCTCCATTTTTCCCCCCAAATTATCTTTCCTGTGCTCATCCCCTCCCACACTCTCCTTCCACTTTGTCTCTAGTGTCCATAAGAACTTCTAATGCTTTTATGTCCTCCAGTCTTTCGGTCTCTACCACAGAGTGCAGACAGTCAGTATATATTAAGTGGAGATATACAATGTCTCTCTTTCATAGCCTGACTTGCTTCACTCAGCAACAAATCTATCAAATGTTTCTTAAAATCAAAGATACGAAAAAAGAAAAGGAATTGTACTTTTTTTTTTTTTTTTGTAGAGGTTTCTGCTATAGGGTACGTGAGCTTCCCAGAAAGAGAAGAGACAGAGAGACAGAAAGCGAGAAATCACCCCCTAGAGGGGATGGCCACGCCGCAATACCTTCTCCTCCATTCTCCTCTCGGGATCTTGGGCACGCACGCACATGCACCCAGCGTGAATTTAAGGCACCGGGTGCAGGGCTCTAACCACAGTCGACTACATGGGAGTTCAGCGACATAGCCATTAGGCTAACTACTGGTCCCAAGAATTGTACTGTTTGCCTGTTTCTCTCTGAATGCGAAAGTTGCTATCAGGGCAGTAGGGTTAGGGAGATTTGCTGTCCAGGCCCTTGTGGCCCCAGGGTAGCACAGGGTGGACATTCCTGCCCATGTGGGCACTGCCCTGCCTCTCTGTGAGAGTCGCAGACTAGAGGATGTCCTGGGGAGGGCGAGCCCTTGGTGAGAAGTTGTGGTTCTTGGCTCAGCAGCACCTGTGGCTAAGGCGGGTACTACAAAAGCCCTTGGGCACTCCATTTTCTTTTCCTCAAGCCTCATTTCCCAAAAAAAAAAAGAAAAGGAATTGTTCTTTTTTTTTTTTTTTTTTTGTAGAGGTTTCTGCTATAGGGTACGTGAGCTTCCCAGAAAGAGAAGAGACAGAGAGACAGAAAGCGAGAAATCACCCCCTAGAGGGGATGGCCACGCCGCACTACCTTCTCCTCCATTCTCCTCTCGGGATCTTGGGCACGCACGCACATGCACCCAGCGTGAATTTAAGGCACCGGGTGCAGGGCTCTAACCACAGTCGACTACATGGGAGTTCAGCGACATAGCCATTAGGCTAACTACTGGTCCCAAGAATTGTACTGTTTGCCTGTTTCTCTCTGAATGCGAAAGTTGCTATCAGGGCAGTAGGGTTAGGGAGATTTGCTGTCCAGGCCCTTGTGGCCCCAGGGTAGCACAGGGTGGACATTCCTGCCCATGTGGGCACTGCCCTGCCTCTCTGTGAGAGTCGCAGACTAGAGGATGTCCTGGGGAGGGCGAGCCCTTGGTGAGAAGTTGTGGTTCTTGGCTCAGCAGCACCTGTGGCTAAGGCGGGTACTACAAAAGCCCTTGGGCACTCCATTTTCTTTTCCTCAAGCCTCATTTCCCAAAAACTTCAGGGAATGTGGTGTGGTGGGAAGGACATGGGGTCAGATTCCATGAGACCTGGTCCTATTTCCACTCCTGCCTACTGCCTGGTGCCCTGTTTCCATACATGCCCGTTCCTTCACACCCCCAAAGTTTGCCTTGCTTGCCTAGGAAAGGCAGCCAGTCTACATTCGGACAATCTTGAAGGTCCAGCCCTGAAGAGTACGCACAGGCCTCCTGGCCGGGTAATTCAGAGTCTGTAATTCCCTGGTTCCCTGACAGGTAGCCTGGCGCAGCCTAGGGAGCCCACCCCACGTAAGGGTCAAGGACAGCAGGAGGGGCTCCCACCTGGCTCCTTCTCTGCCCATAAGACACATCTGTTCCAGCTTGCATGCTGCATACCCCTGAGGACACTCCCTCCCTGCCCCTGCACACCTTCACCCCGGAAGACTGTGCCTTCTTGAGGGCAGGCCAAGTCTGCTGGTCACTGGCTCCCAGGGTCGTGCTCAGTACATCTCTGCTGAGCGGATGAGTGAGCAACAGAGAAATACAGTCCACTGCAGACTTCATTTCTAGGCCATCTCCCACCCCGCTAGGGGAGGGTCCCAGACCTGACTCTGCGAGTGTGACCATAATGTCATGGTTCTCAAAAGCCAAGGGAACTCAGTACAGACCACAGGCGGTGTGAAGGGGTACAGGAAAGACCCTGAAGATCAAACTGACTCAAACATCTGCAGGGGAACCATGCCAACACCAGAGAAAGCCTAACCGTGGCTATGGAAGTTCTGGATGGGTAAAAGATGAGACACCTCAGAGGCATTTGGACACGTCCCAGGCCCAGGATCGGTCATGAGCAACAAGGAGGCCTCTGTTTTCCATTTGAAAGGAGGGGCTTGGCTCTGGGCTCTCCAACCCCTCCTTGCTGACTGCACAGGGGACCTGCTGCAGGGGCTCCAGCTGCATGAAGCGTGCCCAGACAAAAACGCCCACCTGCTGGCAAAGCATCCAGGTATGCTGCCTGCAATCGAGGAAGGAGCCCTGGTCCCCACGTCACTATCCTGCGTAAAGTAAACAAGGCAAGAGTACTGGCTTCCACTTCCTCACTGGGTGACCTTGGGCAGGTTCTTCACCCCTCGGAGCCACAATTTCCTCATCTGTAAGGTGGGCGTCACAGCATTTAACTCGTAGAGAAGTTTGAAGATCATGTGTGTTAGCCGTGAGATGCAGATGACAACGGCCTGGCGGGCCCTCCACTTTGGGAGCTGTCACAACCCCGATCACCAGTCTATTCACGGAGGCTGTGGTTGTGCGTGTGTGCGTGTGCCTGTTTCTGTCTCTCCACATACAAAAGCAACAAGGTCCATCTATTTTTTTTGAATACACCAAGTCACTTGGAAGGCCAACAGAATACCAGAGGCCTTTCTGGGGCTGAAGCCACTGACCAGCAGATGCTGTAGAGAGGTGGCCCTGACACCCAAAGGATAGCGCCTTAACCAGATCTGCAGTGATAAGGATGGCTTCCAGGTAAAAGCCACACCGTGCGACTTGGGCAAAGGGCCTTCCCACCTCCTTCGACAATGTACTTTACTTTCCTTCACTTGCCTGAGTTCAGTAAAGGGTTCTCTCTACCTGTTGGACACAAAGACTGTTTTGTCTACAAAAATACGCAAATAACTAACCTAATGGAAAAAATGAAAACCGCATGATGCCCTCACATTAATTTCTGCAAATAACTCTTAAAAAATATCAGACATAGGGGATGAGCAGGTGGCATGGTGGCTAGGGCGCTGGACACTCCCACATGGCTGACTATGGTTAGAGTTCCAGAACTGGTGGTTTGCTTTCTCACTTTCTTTCTCTCTCTCCCCTCCCCCCGCTGTGTGCCTCTGGTCAAATTAGGGTAAATGAATGAATAAATAAAATTAAATACATAATTCTTAAAAAAAAAAAAAAAAAAAAAAGAGACACAGGCCATCGTGGAAGTGAAGAGGAAGTAAACAGAAGAGCTTCGTTTCCACTGAGGCACCTGCGGAGCCCGGTAACCCACAGCACGGGGTCCTTACCTCGTCTATCTTGGATTGTCGGCAAGGGAAAGAAAACGTGAAGCCCACAGGTAATTTCTTGTCCTTGATATTCTTTTTCTCCATGAAGTCTCCCAGGCACTCAGCAACATGATCGAAAAGCTGGAGAAAACGAGAAAGAGTCGGGTGGAAGAAAAGAGATTTAGTGTTGCAGGGAAAAAAGGGTCATGATTCCCTGCCGCATACACAGAAAGGTGCTAGCAAACCATGCTGGCCCTGTCTAAAAGACACACTGCATGTGAGTGACAGAGAAGAGCCACTGAAAGGAGCAGCCCCAAGAGCCAGTGTATCTCTTAGAAGCATCTTAATACCTTCCGGTAGAACGGGCTCTCTCGGTGCTCACAAGTATGTTACTAAGAAAAACCAGCAAAGAGACCAGCAGATGGTGTAATGGTTACATCATTGGACTCCCACGTAGTTGACCGTGGTTCAAGTCTCGGACCTGGTGGCTTAAAACTCACACCAGGGTCATGTGCATGTGTGCCCAAAATCCCAAGAGGAGAACTGAGGAGAAGGGATTGCAGCATGGCCATCACCCTGGGGGGTGATTTCTAGCCTTCTCTCTGTCTCTATCTCTCTGGCAAGTGCATCCACCCTATAGTGAAAAATCTTTCTTTAAAAAAAAGAGAGAGAAAAAGAAGAGAGAAAGAGAGAGAGAGAAAGAAAGAAAGAACGATCGATCGATCGATCAACTGATCAGCATATCCCTCCCCACCACACGTCACAGGTCTCCACCATCTGCTGGCGGGTTGGGGAGGCTGCTTCAGGCCCCTTCCCAGGTCTGTATTTGTCAGTTCCAGAAACTTCAAGGACAGTTCCTCGGCTGGTAACCCACTGGCACGATGGAGCAATCTCCACTATCATGCTCTGACTCTGCAGTGTAACGTTCACAGAAAACCAGCGCACGTATCGTGCAATGTCGTCTGCACTGGGTTCTCACGGCTGTCCCACCGGGTCACCAGCACCCAGATCAAGATACACATGCTATCAGCACCCAGACACCCACCTCATGGCCTGCAATCACTTCCCCTATCACCCAGCCCACCCGCCAGCCCCCTGACGTCTAACACGCTCAATTAGCTTTGCCGGTTGTCTTGTGCAGACGAATGCAATAGGACAGGGTCTGCTTTTCGGCGTCTTCATTTTCACTCTACGTTACGTGTGAGTCATCCGTGTGGCTGTGTGACTTCAGACTCTTCATTCTCAGCACTACCAAGTATCCCTTGGTTTGAATATACCACGACTTAGTGGGCTGTGAGTTAAGCTTTGCCTGCTCTACGACACATCACCATGATTCATCAGGTGCCCACACGTCTTAGGAATCCACTTACAGAAAGAACTTCTGCATGATCACTACCAATGCAGCCCCAGCCAGTGCTCCCAGACAAAGGCATGTGCCTGAAGATTTTCTTGCAGGGACATCAAGAGAAGGCCAGAAGTCATTATGCTCACTTCTCCAGAAGCCCCTGAACCATATCTGAAGTCAGACTTTGCTGCCAGGGTAACAGAAAACACAGTCAATTTTTACAGAGGAGCTCTGGTCCCTGCCTCACTATTCCTCAGGCTATGGCTGCAGACGGGACTGACTGCTCTCCCTGGAGAAGCCTCGCTAAGCTTCCTGCGACCTATTTCAGTCTGATGTAAACCCATTACTATGTTCATCCTAGCGCCCCGGGCCATCTGCATTCAGAGGCTCCAGGCTGGCCTGCAGTGGTCAGGAAAAAAGGCTGCCTGGGAAGGGGCAGCAAGTGCGTGGGAGAACTCAGGCTACGGAAACCCGTGTGGGGCCATCCAAGCCCAACCCAGCTCCCCAGAGCACTTGACAGAGAAGGAAAGGTCTGAAGGTCTGCGGAAAGCTCAGAATCTGGGGGCTGGGAGCCGCTCAAGGAGAAAGGCAGCTGACCCAGGGGAGGGAAGAAGTCACCCAACCGCTCTGGGCTCAAACTCTCTTTTCTTTATTTATTTGCTATAGGGTGCGTGCATTCAATGGGGAGGGGGGAATCACTCCTCCAGAACTACACTCCCTCTTCTCCTCCACTCTCCCCTTGGGATTTTGGGCATATGCACATGTGCCTAGAGTAATTTTCAAGCCACCAGGTCTGGGACTTGAACCATGTAATCGGCCATGTAGGATCCAGCCCTTAACCTCTGTGTCTACAGCTGGCCCCTGGGCTCAAATTTTAAAGTCTAAAACAATTTATTTTTAATTTCCTAACAGCATGCTCATTATTTCAGAAATCCACATGCACAGAATCTGTCCCTCTGACTGAAGATGGCAAATTACAGCTAACATGAGAATATTCACAATCCTCCAAAGTGATATTCTGAAAATGTTGTCTGTGCTTCTGAAATTATTAAAGCTTACACCTGCACTGAGACTTCAGAGATACCACGTGTGTGTGCATTGCGCGTGCGCACGCACATAGGTAGCGGGAGGGAAGGATAAAGGAAACAGTTAACAACTGGGAATCTGGATGGGGGCACACCAGAGCTCTCTGTGCTAACTTAGCTCTGAGTTTAACGTTGTTTCAAGTAAGAGATTTAAAAATCTTCTTTAAAATTTCCACACATGGTGCCAACCAGTGGCATGGAGGTTAAGGTGCTAGATCCCACAAGGCCAACCATGGTTCAAGTCCCGAACCCAGGAGCTTGAAAAACACCCTGGGAACAGGCATGTACCCAAAATCCCAAGAGGAGAATGGAGGAGAAGGGATTGTGGGATGCCCATCTCCCCTAGGGGGTACTCATTCCCTCTCACTCCCTCTCACACCCCGGGCAAGCACATGTGCCCTATAGCAAATTTTAAAAAATTCCAGGGCCAGCAGGTGGCATGTTGGTGGAGGCACTGGATTCCCATATGGTCAACCAAGAGTCCCAGACTTGGCAGCTTACTTTCTCATGTTCTCTCTCTCTCGCTCTGGTAAGCACACAGTGTTCTACAGCAAATTAAAATAATAATAAAAAATAAAATTAAATCATTCTTAAAATAAATAAATAATAAAAAGGTCCCACACATTGCAGAAGACGAGAATCCTATGATCACAATCCCAAGAATTTGCCCATCACTTGTAAGGTCTGAGTTGCTTCCCAGGCAGCACAAGGACCCTGGTTTACCAGAGGCTGATAAGAAACCTCAGAAAGATGGACCCCAATGCTTGTTTCCGACCTAATACCAAACTTATGGAGGAGGGGTTCCCATTCCAGTCCTGATCTTAGTCTTTCAACCCTGTCCTTTGTCTCCTCACAACCTCTCACTATCAAAAAATAAAAAATGGGAACCAGCAGTTAGCGTAATGGCTATATCGCTGGACTCCCACGTAGTCGACCGCGGTTCGTGTCCCAGACTCGGTGGCTTAAAACTCACGCCAGGCGCGTGTGCGTGCGTGCCCAAGATACCAAGAGGAGGATGAAGGAGAAGGGATTGCGGCGGCATGACCATCCCCCCTGGGGGGTGATTTCTCGCTTTCTGTCTCTATGTCTCTCTCTGTCTGTCTGGCGAGCACACGCGCCCTACAGTGAAAATCTCTCCAAAAAAAAAAAATAATAAAAAATGAATTATTAAGGAAGACAAAAACTGGGGCTGGCAGGTTGCATGGTGGCTAGGGTGCTGGACTCCCACATGATTGACCATGGTTCGAGTCCTAGACCTGGGTGGCTTTCTTTCTCAAGAGCTCTCTCTCCCTCTTCCTCTATTGCTCTGTGGTCAAGTTAAAAAATGATGATGATGAACAAAATAAATAATTCTCCTTATTAAAAAAAAAAAAAAAAAAAGAAAGAAAGGAGAAGAAAAGAAAAAGAAAGGCAAAAACAAACCTCAGTCTAGGAATTTCAAGTTCCTGAGACCAGACTGCCTAGGTTCAATCAGTTATTAGAGCTGAGCCGAGCCTCAATTTTCCCATCTGTAAAATGGGAATGACAGTAACAATACCCATCTCATAGGGCTGTGATAATTAAATAAGTTAATAAACTAAAGCTGGCAAGTAGTGTGGTTTGGGTGCCAGACTCCCACATGGCTGACCCTGGTTCAAGTCTTGGGCCTGGCAGCTTGCTTTCTCCCTCTCTGTGTACCCTATAGCAAATTTTAAAGTAATAAATTAATTAATATTTTGAAAATAAATGAATTACCTTATATACAGTGCTCACATCAGTGACTCATATATAACAAGCACTATGAGGAATTTGCTAGAATGATATTATCTTATCAGCATCATCTTTTTTTTTTTTTTTTTTTTTTTCTGGACAGCTTGAAAGGGGCAAAAGAAGAAACACAAAGGGCAGAAAACATATCCCGGGACTGAGGAAAAGCGAAGGAGGGCATAGAGGTCAGCCCAGAGAAGGGCCAGCGGTGAAAAGGGGGTTCCTGTGGAAGGGAACACAGTGAGTACACCCGTAGGGGTGGGGAGCACCCCATGAATCAACAAACCCTGTTCCTAGAAGGCCAGGCCAAAGCACACAGGGACTATCTGCAGCACAAGACCAAGGGTCCTGGTGGCAAAGGCCCCAGATCCAGGTGGCTCAAGACAAAGACCAAGGGGAACAGAGAGTGACAGGCCAGTGCCTGATGCCAAGAGGAAAGAGCAGATGTCGAGCCCCAAGGCTGCTGGCCCCTGCAAGAGGAACACAGCAGCAGCCAGAGGGCCCAGGTGGGAGGCCTGCCAGCAGGCAGTCTCAGGGCTCACCGGGTGAGTGGGCCCGTTTCAGTCCAGCCACGAGGGGCAGTGGGGCACCTTCAGGCAGGACCATCCACTGAGTAAGCCACCCGGTTTCAATGGATGACTGCAAAGGAGGGTCTCCAGTCACCTTTGATGCTTACCAGGACCTGGTCTGAAAACCCCAGGAAGCAGGTGAATGACCAGGATCAACCCTTAGCAGTTGGGACACAGAAAAGGGCGGGTGGCTTGCTCCTGGTCCCACCTACATTAATTGGGACTAAAATGGGAGTCGAGAGGGAAAGGCTCCTGGGTTTACAAAGTCCGCCCAGAACAAATGGGTTCTTGGGACGGCTTAGTCACGGCACTGGCCATGCACACACCCTCCCAAAGCAAACATTTGGCAAGCTCTGAACACATACCCTGGGCAGCAGCCAGGACTCCAGACGTGAGCTGCAGCATGGAGGGCCCAGGTCTACCGGAGAGTGGAGGGCCCAGGTCTACCAGAGAGTGGAGGGCCAGCCCTCCCACTCGGCAGGCTTAAGGACTCAGGAATAACTGCATATCGGGGGGGTGGGGGTGGGGGGGCGGGTAGGCACTACCTGATCCCTTTTCCAGGTCCTCAGTGGGCAAGGGACCTGCCACTCACCACAACCAGATAGGCTGTGGGAGCAGGTGGGCGGGCCCCTTCCTGGCTGGGGCCATGAGTGGGGGGCTCCCAGGTACAAGTGTGAGAGAAGATGGAGATTTCCCAAGCCAGCCCCCACTTCTCTACTTTTTGTGTAGAGGGTCTGGACCATGCTTTTAAATCAGGCAATGAACAGTCACCAGTCAGCCTACACCTCTGAACCCTAATTCCTGCCTGATGAGGCCACCACATCCTACAAGAGGCCTGGCCCCTATGGAGTGGGTCAGGAGACCGAGGATCTGGAGGATGGGGTACTTCCACCCAAGGGCGCTAACCTGTGCTGGGGCGCCCACCCCAGGATCCTTAGCAATGCACATTTACAACAGAGCTGCAGGTCCCCCTCCTCCCTCCCTTCACCCCAAAGGCCCAGACCCACTCCCTCTCCACCAGCTTACCCCGCCCCCACCCGACCGTCACATCCTTCCACCCACAAGCCCCTTTCTGTAGGTATTTCTGAGGGACCCCTTTCAGGAAGCCTCTCCCAGGGGCTTGGCATACTGGTGTTCACCGGGGCTTCGAAGTCTGGTTCCTGGAGATATCTCAGGCAAGGTTGGCCCGATGGGTTTGACCTGAAGGGAGTGGGGACCCACCTGGCTTCCACTGCCATGCATGATGTTCTCTGGGGTGTCATAAACCTCGGATTCCATGTGAACATTCTGGTTTTTCTCATGATTCACTTGCACCCGTAGAATTCGGAAGAAAGACCCACCAAGATCCAGGGCAATGAAATCCCCCTTTTCTGTTTAGGGAGACAACAGATTCTGATTAGAGAGATGTCAGAGTGAGGTGTTAAAAGAAGGTCACATACCACAGCGCTACCTGGCAGGGACCGGCTGCTCCGCTCCCCGTGCTATGCCGAGCAGAAAGCACCAGAAAACAGGAATCTGCCAGCCTCATCGAACCACTGCCCACAGAAAGAGCGGGCAAGAGAAACCCCACCCCGGCCCTTAGGCAGGAACGACCAAGCAATCCCGGTCTCTCCCTTCTTACAGGGGAGGGGAAGTACTGAATTCGTACCAGGTCCTAAGTCCATCTTCTCTAATTCCTTACCCTATTCAAAAGCAGCACTGCCACCCCCATAAATAAAAGTTACACAGCAGTTCAATTCAGAGGAAACCCCAAGCTGCGCTCCACCCCACGCCCCGGGCTTGGACACCCACTACTGCCCCACCTGCTCCATAGGGTAGGTTGGTTGTGGTGGTAAAGTGTGCAGTTAGTGGCCTTACACGTATTTGCAGTTGGGCAACCACCACCACGAGCTATTTCCCAAGCCGTTTCATCACCCCCAACAGAAATGCTAAGTCCATGAAGCAATAGCTCCCATTCCTTCTCCCCCTCAGTCCCTGCTTACTGCTATTCTACTTTGTCTCTATGAATTCGCCCGTTCTATTCCATATGACATTAGAATCACCCGGCATTCGTTCTCTTGTGACTGGCTTATCTTGCTGGGGATAGAGTCCTCAAGGTTCATCCATAATGCAACACATGTCAGAATTTCACTCCTTTTTAAGGTGGGATGCATTCCATTGTGTGGCCCAGCCATGGTGGCACAGAGATACACAAGTGTCCTGCCAGGCTGGAAGCCCTGTGGCCGGCTGCAGGTTTGGACCCCCAGGTTACCCTGGAAGGAAAATGTGCAGGGTCCATGCGGAAGCCAAGATCCTGAGAAGCAGGAAGCCCGGGGGAAGGGGGTTGTGGCATGATGAGAACCTGTCACTGGTTTTCTCTTTCATTTTCTCTCTTCCATGCATATATGAGCTATTATAAAATACAAAAATATATATTCATTTGTATGGATATACATCATTTTGTTTATCTATTCATCTGCCATTGGACACGTGTTGTTTCCACTCATGGTTGTTTTCGTTTATTCTTTAAGTTTGCGATAGGGCGCATGCACTCACTGGACAGAGACACAGAGAGAGAGAGAGCGAAACAGAGAGAAAGCATTCCCGAGGGAAGATGACTACACTACAATCCCTTCTCCATTCTTCTCTCAGGATTTTGGGCGTATGCACACATGCATGTGTACATAACCAGCATGTTTTCCAAGTAGCCGAGACCAGGACTCAAACTGTGCAGTTGGCCATGTGGGATCCAGCTGCCCCAGCCACCATGCCACCTGCTGGCCTGGGGATGTTTCTAACAGAGGTCCCTATAGGTCACACAATATTGGGTTGTTGGGAAAGCCACGATGCATTTTTGCATAGAAAAACACATCATGACTCTCCCAACAACCAAATAGTACACTGGCCCATATGGTTACATTTCTCAGAACCACGTGTGCAGTTCCAGGGATGGGGCTCTGTTGAACCAAGAAAGATGGTGAGAGACTGTCTAAGGGGACCCCAGGCCAAGTTACCAGCAGAGGTGGCCACAGGCAGGATTCAGCCCTTTAGCTACCAGCAAACACTCTCCACCCCGTGACATTGAATATCTTCATGCGTGCCCTCCCCCAAAATGGTTAAAATCGGCTAAGGTGATACCCCTACTGCCCCAATATACATCCCACAGGGGTGACAGCCGGACAGCCGCTCCTGCCTCCCTGAATCTCAGTGGTCCACCAGGCCCTTGACCCTACAGTAATACACACCAGACTGCATCCGGGCATCCCATTTCCTAGGGAAGGACCTTCAACATCTGCTATGGTAATAGCATTATGGAAACTTCATTCACACACCATATGACTGCCCACTTACAATGATTTTTGGAATACTCAGAATTATGCAACCATTGCAAATTTTAAAACATTTTTCAGAACATCACCACAATCAATTTTAGAACATGTCCACCTCAAAAAGAAACTCAGTACCCTTTAACTACCACCTCCCAAGGCCCTCGTTCCCTCCAGCCTTAAGTGGCCACTAATCTTTCTATCTCTATAGATTTGCCTACTCATAGAATTTCCTATAAATGGACTCAATCAGGATGTGGCCTTTTGTGACCAGCTGATTTCATTTAGCAAGATGTTTTGAAGGTTCACCATGCGGTTTGCTTCATTCCTTCTATTGGCCAGATACTACTCCATTGCACAGATGCATCATATTTTATTTATCCATTTGTCGGTTGATAGACGTTGTTTTGTTTCCACCTTTTGGCTATTATAAATAATGCCGAACTACAAATACTGCGTCCAAGCTTTTGTGTGGACATATGCTTTCATTCCACTTGATTATATGGGGAGACTGCAAAGACCATGAAAAAACATATTATGAAAAAGCTATGCACAGATTTCAAAAATGTTTTGCCCCCAAAATAAACGTGTACTTTAATTCTATTTTCCATAAATTTTTTGAAGTCCCCATATTGGACTTTCTGACAAGTTGCCACTGTTCTCCAAAGCAGCTGCACCGTTTTACATTTCTACTAGTAAAAAAATGAAGTTCCCAGTTTCCCCATGTCTTCACCAGTACTTCGCTGCTGTCTTTTTTTATTTCTCTTTGCATTTCTCTGATGACTAATGATGCTGAGCACCTTTTCATATGTTTATTGATCACTGATAAATCTTCTTGGGGAAAAGAGTCTGTTCAGATCCCTTGCCCATTTTAAAAATTGGGTTATTTGTCTTCTTAAGTGTTGAGTTGTAAGAGTTCTTTATGATATTCTAGATATATAACTGCAAATGTGCCCCCATAGTGTGGGTTGTCTTTTCACTTTCTTGATGGTATCCAACAGTTTTTCATTTTGATTAAGTACAATTTATATTTTGCTGTTTGTGCTTTTGGTGTCCTGCCTAAGAATCCATTGCCAAATCCAGGGTCACAAAGATTCATGCTAGCATTTCCTCCAGCGAGCTGTACAGCTTACTATTCCTTTGTTTCAGTATCTGATGCTGTTTAGTTCATTTTTGTATATGGTGTGAGGTAGAGGTCCGATTTCACTATTTTCCCTGTGGATAACCAGTATTTCAGCACTATTTGCTGGAAAGACAATTCTTTCCCCAACTGAACTGTCCTAGCACTCTTGTCAAAAAATCAATTGACCATAAATGTGTGAGTTTATTTCTGGACTCTCAATTTTGTTCCACTGATCGATATGTCTACCCTTATGTCAATATGTGTTGCTTTGTTGTAAATTCTGAAATTAGGAAGTGAAAAACCCTCCAACTTGGTTCTCTTTTTCAAGATTGTTTTGGCTATTCTAGGTCCTATGAGTTTTGCTTACTTTTTAAAAAAGTAATGATTGCAGGTAGCATGGTGGTTGGGGTGCTGGACAATCTCATGTGGCTGACCGTGGTTTGAGTCCCAGACCTGGCAGCTTGCTTTCTCACTTTCTCTCTCTCTCTCTGTCTCTCTCTGGTGAATTTCAATACTAATAATAACAATAAATTATTCTTTTTTAAAAAAAGTAATGGTCGCTTGGGGGTGGGGATGAGGCAGACAGACAGTAAATCAGTGACAAAGTGTAACACTCTGCAAGATAATCCCACACAAGAAGGTTCCCAGTTCAAGTCTGGATGCCTCCATGGTGGGAACACTCTGTACACTCTGGCCTATGATCTGTGGCTGGCTAAAGGCTGAAGGTGGGTAGCAGCATCAAGATCCTACAAGATGAGGCTGGTAGGTGGTGTGGTGGTTGTGATGCTGGACTCCCACATGACCAGCCACAGTTCAAGTCTCAGACCTGGTGGCTTGCTTTCTCACTTTTCATCTGTCTCTCTCCTGTCAAATTAAAACAAATATAAATAACAAATAAAGTTAAATAAATTTTAGAAAAAAAAAGAGATCCTACTAGAGGTGCTGTCTCTGTCTCTGTCTTTCTCTGTCTCTCTTACTCACAGAAGAAATAAACTGAAAAAAGTCATGACTTTTTAAAAGTGCTTTCTTTTATAAAGATGATTTATCTTGGGACCAGCAGTTGGCGTAATGGCTATGTCGCTGGACTCCCAGGTAGTAAACCGCGGTTTGAGTCCCGGACCCGGTGGCTTAAACTCACACCGGGCGCATGTGCATCTGTGCCCAAGATCCCAAGAGGAGAATGGAGGAGAAGGGATTGCAGCGTGGCCATCCCCCCCGGGGGCCGATTTCCTGCTTTCTGTCTCTCTGTCTCTCTCTGTCTGTCTGGCAAGCGCATGCGCCCTATAGCAAAAACCTCTCCAAAAAAAAAAGATGATTTATCTTTATTTTTGATTCCACCAAGTTGTAAGCTCTAACACATCTGTATTTCTGGAACTCAGAACATCTTTGCTATATAATAAAAGCTCAACAAACACCTGCAGAATTAATGAAGGTGCCAAGGAATGAATGAACAAACCAAAGAACTCTCACACTGCATTTCCATAATTCGGGATTTTTTGCATCTGCCCTCAGCACCCAGGACAGTTCTTGATCACAGAGATCAAGAGGACCCGTTTATTCATTCAAGTACCCCTGCTTATTCATTAAACCTGAAGTAGTTATTCCATGATATGAGACAAAGAGGACAAAGCATGTTTCCCCAATCCCTACTCACCACAACACAAAACACTTCTGTGTCCCCAAGTAGGTCAGGGGACGGGTTCCCACATGCCAAGCAAGCAACCAATTCTGCAGATCCTCCAGCAGATATCAGCTGGTGTCCTCTAATTTAATTCTGACACTGTCTACCTGGAGATAGCACCAGACCCCACAAGTTGACGGCTCAGTCCCTAAGACTGCTCCCTACTTCAGATGCCAGTAACAAGCACAACCCATGGCCTATGTCCCTCACAGGCCCTAAGTCAGGCTTTCCACTGACCCCCTCCTTGGGTTCAATTCATTT